GCAAAAAGCCCTCTGCTCTGAAATGGCTTTCTCTGTGAGCATATAATCTGTGTCCATACTACATCCATATACTATTTTTAGGTTAATTATTATATGTGGCCTCTTCACCTCTTCTCTTTTTCTATGGAGTGCAATTGGGTACATTCTAACCATATATGTCAGCAAACAGTTCTTCTGTTTTTAGAGAAGTCACAAGATTCGCAAAAAGCCCTCTGCTCTGAAATGGCTTTCTCTGTGAGCATATAATCTGTGTCCATACTACATCCATATACTATTTTTAGGTTAATTATTATATGTGGCCTCTTCACCTCTTCTCTTTTTCTATGGAGTGCAATTGGGTACATTCTAACCATATATGTCAGCAAACAGTTCTTCTGTTTTTAGAGAAGTCACAAGATTCCTCAAAGGTCAATCTTCCCACTTGTCAAAAAAGCCATTGCAAATGGTATTTTAACATGGTGCGGACTGGTTTGATGGACTATTCTTTTGAGACCTTTGAAGATTCTACCTGTCATTAAAGACAGTATTTTTAATCAGTTATATCTGCAAGAAAAGTGTGTGTTGTATACTCTAATAGCTGATTTCTTGTCTCCATATTTTACAGGTATTAAGTAATCCAGGCTTATATAAAAGTGGTGGTTTGAATTCCACCTGACTCAGATTATTGCTCTCCTGATAGTCTTTTCAAAATTTCATTATCACCTGGGGAAAATTAGGAGTCCATACCTTAGATGTTGAGGACTTAAGGTTTTTATTTGGGAAGAACTAAAGTACTTAAATTTAGCAAGAATATGTATAGCTTTCGTGAATCCATTTTTTTTAAAGGAATCCTACTTCCATTTATCTTCTGCATCAGGAAATTGAGCACTTTGATATATTATATGCTATCTTGCATGTCAGTTTCTCTGGACTTTATGACTCACCCCACTGTGGCTAAGACAGCATTGATTACAAGTCTTCTAAGATGTCAGTATTACGTAGTCTGCAGAACACAGATCTGCAATTCACTGTACACATTTAGGCTATGTCTAGACTGCAAGCCTCTTTCGAAAAAGCGTCTAGACTGCAAGCGGAACTTTAGAAAAAGCAAGCCGTTTTTCGAAAGAAAGCAGCGAGTGAGTCTGGATGCTCTCCTTCTAAAAAGCCCTGTTGGTATTCAAGAACGCCTTTTTTCGAAAGAGCACTTTCGAAAAAAGGCGTACTTCCTCGTGAAATGAGGTTTACCGCCATCGAAAGAAAAGCCGCGTTCTTTCGATTTAATTTCGAAAGAACGCGGCTGCAGTCTAGACGTAGGTGAAGTTTTTTCGAAAAAAGGCTACTTTTTTTGAAAAAACCCCTGAGTCTGGACACAGCCTTACACAGCACTGCTCCCTCAGCTTGACATCTAGGTCTAATGCTTATTCTGGGAGACCAATACTGTAACTTCTGTTGAGTGAAAAGTTCTCAGTCTACCTTCCTGGGGGAGTTGTACTGTTCAATAGATTCCTAAAAGTGGGAATAAGTACAAATCACTTCAAAGAAGTAAATCATTTTTAGTAGAGAAACTTGAATGAGAAGATCTTTTAGACTTTACAGTATTTCCCCTTAACATAGTAATTACCTTTGTGGCATCTTTTGGGTAAGTGAAGGTTTAAAAGAACATTCAGCTGAACTGGTCCTGAAATCTAGTGGTAATACACAATCAAGTGGAGAATCAGAGTAATGATAATAAATTTAGCCCTTTGTTTCTTCACTGTATCTCAGAGGGAACAGGTTCAGATCATATTGCTGAGTTACATGATTAGAGTTAGATGATTGTAAAGCGTATCTTATAATTATTGCTGGGAGCAGCTTGATACCGATTAGGTACTTTTCTTAGAGCCTGTATCTAAGTGTGTAGATTTTTATTTGCAAATTAAGGTTACATATTAGCATGTGAATATGAACCAGACATCTCTATGAGAAACTTTCTTAAAGAGGTCCTTGAAAGCAAGAGCTGTTAATTATTACTTCTGAATATACATGATCTCTAAGTGCTAGTTGCATCACTTGCACCCTTTTATTTTCTTCAGATTTTGAGAAGTATGCTCTACAGAGGTTCTGAGGTTATGCGAGAAGTTGCTTGGGTTATATTTGATGAAATACATTATATGAGAGACTCAGGTATGGTGTACAATTTCTCTGAAATAAGTTGTATATTTTTCTTTCCATCTGTAGATCCCTACATTGACACAAAAGTGTAGATCCATGTTTGCTAGGATCAGCCTGTGATCCGATCTGACATCTGCTAGTCATCTTTTACCTTTAAAAGGGTTGCCAGGTGTCTCCCCAGATGGCTCTGCCCCTCTTCCTCCCCCTGTTTTTGAATTGCCTTGGGTCACCAAGTCTTCCCGAATTGTCAAAATGGATCTCCATCTGGAAAAGGTTGGGAACTGCTGCTCTATCCCTATCTGCACCTGCAGTAGCAAACCATCTTGAGGGATCAGAGATAGGAGAGCGAAGGGTGGGGGCAGGGTTCTGTAGGGAAGAAGCAGTGCAAAGGCAGGGATTTTGGGGGTAAGGGATGGAGCGGGCTCTCAAAGGGGCATTGTGGAGGAGGGCTTTGGAAGTGTCACATTACGTGCTGCTTTTTTAGTGTCTTATGGCCAGCTGAAAGTAAATGCAGGAAAGTTCCTTTAAATAAATAAGTGAAGAACTTTTGTAGCTGGCTTGGGTTTGTTGCTTCTGTTCATATTAAGGAAAAAAATTCAGAAACAGAGCTCCCAAGCCAAACAATAATAGATAGGAAGATTTCAAAGCTTTGGGAGTGATTATGTTTCATGTTTAGGTAATACCACCCTCCTTTACCACAGACATACCTCCCTTCCTCCACTCCCCCCTTTGCCAAAGAGGAGGCAAATCAAGTCTGCAGGAGGTTGCCTGCCCTCCATCTGGCAAAGAAATATGGGACTAAATTCCTTGCAAGCCAGAGACACCGAGCCTAACTTTCCCACATTCACTGGTGAGCAAGGCTTAGGCAGCTGGTGCTCCTTTTGGGTGTGCTCTGTCAGAAGGCTACAGAGAAGCCAGGCCCAAGGAGGCTTCTGGGAATCCCATATGCTGATGCTACATGCCACCCAGAGGAGCCCCTGCTCACTGCCTGCCATGCCCACAGCTTGCAGGCAGCTTGCACTAAGAGGGGTAAGGAAGGGGACAGCACACTCTGGAGAAGCTCCAAGAATACTTGCAGAAGGGATGCACCCACTCACGGTGAACTCAGAGATGCTGCTGCCCATATCCATCAGCATGAGGGGCAGACACCCTCCCTGAGCAGTAGCTGGAAAAAGAAGACGGTTATGTAAGCAACTAGTCAACTACCCGACAAGTATGTGCTTAGCGGGTAGTGGAATAGTGACTCAGCTAGTCGTTCCCCACCCTTACTGTCTCTATCAGAGGGAGGCATTTGAGGAGCAGCAGGAGCTGATGGTGGCGGGGGGAGGGATCTGGCTTAAAAGCTGGCTCCCCCCCAGCACTGTCTCTGCAGAGGGGCAGGGAGGCAGGGTGTGGTGGAGAGACCAGTCATGAGCTGGGAATCAGCTGATTCCCGGCTCACACTTGGTCCCTCAGCTATGCCTCTCCCTTTAAAATGTATTAAGAGCCTAGGAGCTCTTAATACATTTAAAAGGCAGAGCTGCAGCAGGGTTAGCTCCTGGGGCCGGGAACAAACCCTCCTTCTCCATGTCCTTCCCAGACATTCACTTCCCATTCTGTATGGCTATGTCTAGACTGCAGCCTTTTTCTGCAAAAGCTTATGCAAATGAAGCGCAGAGTAGAATATTGCCGTGCTTAATTTGCATAATTAATTAGCAGCTGTTTTTGCGCAAAAGCTGTGCTTCCTGAAAAAATGAGTACGGTTTTTTTGTTTTTCTCTAGACTGCAGTTTCACTTTAGACACACTTTTTTTTGGAACAGCGATCGGACACAAATATGCAAATGGAAGTGCTGGATCTTTATATCTTTGGTTCATTTGCACTTTCAATTGGGCTCATTTACGTTCCTCTTTCAACAGAGGGATGTAGTCTAGACAAGCCCTTAGAGCTAAATAAATAAATAACCCCTACTTCCATTTTTAGAGCCCTGCGCCCGTTAAATCTGCATCCGCACCACTATCTGCAAAAATGGTTTGAAAACGAAAGTGATCTGATCCATGGATATGAACCAGATAGCTGCAGATTCACAGGGCTCTACTCATCTATGGCATGGCTCACTTGCTCCTGCCTCTACTCCAGTCCATAAACAGCTCAGATTTTTTTAATTGGGAAAACACGTAATACCATTTACTTACTATCTTGATTCCCACCATCTTGTATGCTGGATAGCATTACATCTACACACTGGGAGAGTCACAGGGAAGAAAGGTGCAGGGGTGTGTTGCCTGCTTCCTTGCTGTGCCTGTTGTACCGTCTGCCTAATTAGCCTCTTGTGCTCCTTGGCCCATCAGTTAGGCACAGCTTTTCCTTATGTTCTGCTCTGGAGTAATTTAGAGCTTCAATGACCAGTTTGATTACCCTCAGAACTAAGTAGGTGCTGTTAACCAGCACTGTGTCACCATCCCACACCCCTGTAACCTTATCTAACTTTTTTGCTGGGTTCAGGCCAAAGTTGTAAGTAGAACAAGAACAAATATTGTTTTTTCCATCAGATCATCATTTGAATCAATATCCCTTTTCCTTCAGGAGTGGGCTTGCTGGTGAGACTGAGTTGCAGAAAGTGTGAGAAGATGTTGCATAAATGCATAATAAGATTTGTGCATTAATGTCTGCATTTCCTTTGGGAAGGAAGAAGTCATCTTTTGACTTCTGTATATTCTTCTGTACTCTAGCTTCTGAACTGAGGCAAGAGGAGGAAGGGAAGTTTGTGGGGCCTTCATACAATTTGCCATCTGTATCTTCTGTTTTCAGAACGTGGTGTGGTATGGGAGGAGACCATTATTTTGCTACCTGACAATGTTCACTATGTGTTTCTTTCTGCCACTATTCCGAATGCCCGCCAGTTTGCTGAGTGGATTTGCCATCTTCATAAACAGGTTTGGAATTACTGTTAGTGGGGACTGATCCACAAGATCTCCATCTGAAAAGTTGGACTGTCTAATAAATGTGTGGAACCCTATACCTAGATGGGTTATGGTGTTTTCACAGTTTAAATTAAAGAGATGTCAACTTAAAATTGGCACACCATTTTGACTATATGAAAACAAATCTACTGTTTATAGATTTTTGTAAAACAATATAAATAAGTGATTATATATTTTAAATCTCAATGGTGGGAGTTGTTCTAAACCAGTGGTCTCCAACCTTTTTACACCCAAGATCACTTTTTAAGTCTCAGAACAGGCAAAGATCTACTGCCCCGCCCCTTCCTTGAAGCCCCGCCTACATTACATGAGGAAATCTAATGTAAATGTACTGCACAGGTGCGCAGTTCAGAGAGGGCTCAAGAGCTACTCTTAGAGCCCCTGAGATCTACCGGTAGCTCGCGATCTACTGGTTGGTGACCACGGTTCTAAACAAACAGTATGCTTCCCAGTAGGGTTTGCATCCGAAACACAGCAGAACAGAGGCCATAAACAACAAGAATGTTTGGATGGGAAGGACAGTAAAAATAGAAAAGTATAGTACTGGTATTTTTTCAGTTATCTAAACGACAAAATGTGAAAAACATTGTGAAATATGAGTTGGATTAAAAATGCTCAGTTTCAACAGCCCAATTCTAGTAACTGAGGGTATGTCTGCATAGCAAGGCTAAAGTTGAATTAAGCTACACAACCTCGCTATGTCATTTGTGTAGCTTAAGTCGAAGTAGCTTAATTCGGCTTTTGGCACTGTCAACACAGCAGGAAGTCGAGGGAAGAACACTCTTCCTTTGACCTTCCCTTAAGCCTCCTGAAATGAGGGTTACAGGAGTTGGAGTAAAAGAAGTCCTCCAGCAACATGTTATTTAAAAAAAAAAGGCTTGTAGTGTAGATGTGCACTGTTATTTATTCCAAAGTAATGTTGCTGTTTAGACATAATCTTGGAAAATAAAACTGGTGGTAGAACACAATTTTTAAGTTCACAACAATCTTTTAATCTTTTATAAAAGGAATATTCTGTGGTTTTTTTGAGGGGGGGGGGTATGTATAATGCAAACTTTTTTGCAATGTGTAACAGTAAGTGGAAATGGAAGTAGGAGATTTTTATGTTAGTTTTGTTTTCATTTTTATATTCTGGTAGGTCTTAGTGTTTGTTGAGTCACAGGATTTCTTTGTAACCATTACATTTGGATGAAGACTTATTTACTGCTATATCCCTCCAGTAATTGAGGATTTCACTCTGAGCTTATGTGTTCTTGAAAAGTATTTGTATAAAGGCAGTCCCTGGATTACGTACAAGATAGGTACTGTAGGTTTGTTCTTAAGTTGAATCTGTATGTAAGTCGGAACTGGCGTCCAGATTCAGCCGCTGCTGAAACTGACCAGCGGGGATGAAGACTTATTTACTGCTATATCCCTCCAGTAATTGAGGATTTCACTCTGAGCTTATGTGTTCTTGAAAAGTATTTGTATAAAGGCAGTCCCTGGATTACGTACAAGATAGGTACTGTAGGTTTGTTCTTAAGTTGAATCTGTATGTAAGTCGGAACTGGCGTCCAGATTCAGCCGCTGCTGAAACTGACCAGCGGCTGACTACA